CCGAGCTGCCCTACGGGAAATCCCAGCCGCCGGAGCCGACGGGCAGGAGCGGGGTGGGCGCCCAGGGCTGTTCCCGCGATTGTCTGGAGAGAGCAGCCCGGTGCCCTCGGACCTGTGCTTCCGTCACACGTGAACTTTCCGGACTTGGCCCCCACCCTCCCCTAGCCAAGCCTCCTTCCTCAGGGCCTGCGCCTCCCGAACCAGCGGTCCTCTCCTCCCCACTCCCACCCCCACCCCGTGCAGATTCTCTCCAAAGGACGCAGCTCTGTTCCCACCTCCTCTGTGAGCCTGTCACCTCCTGGACAGAGAGCCGGGCCTCACCTGCAGGTCTTCTCCACCTGCCGCTGCTGGGGAGCGGGGGTGTGTGTGTGTGTGTGTGTGGTGTTTAGACTGCGACCCAGGATCCGTTCTCCTTTTTCTTGCTAGAAACGGCTCAATAGACTCTTTTAAAAGGCTTTCAGCCCTGGAAGTTAAACATTTTATTTTACACCTGTAACTTTTAAATCAGGACAGTCTACGTCCTCCATGTCTATCATTTTGTCTTCTTGCTCTGTCATCTTAACTTGGTAATTGCTCATCTTCATCTTTACTGGTACGCTCTTCAGCGCTTTCTAATCTGCATTTAGCCTGAAATGGAAGCTGAGCAGCCTGAAACTCTCGCACAACAGGACACCAAAGCCCACACCACTCAACCCGTGGCCACACCCTGGATCCTGTCATCACAAGAAACTATAAAGGGCTGAAAGCTCAATTTCAAATGCCCTGGGTTGAGTTCCGTGTCCTGTCCTGCAGTTCCTCCCTTCCCTGTGACCCAGCCTCTGACTTCTCCCATACACATGGTCAGGCGGTCTCTGCTCTCCTTTCCAGCTGCCTCTCCATCGTACCCACCAGAGCAAACCCGGCTGGGTAAAGGCGAGCACTCTCCATCATTACTACTGCAGACAGTCAGGCTGGCTGGCTTCACTTTAAATGAAAGCTAGCACTTTGCAGCAATCTTATGGTGTTTCTCCAGGATGATGTCTTCCACTCTCCAAAGTGACCATCAGAATTTCTCAGGCTGCAGTTGAGCCTCCCAGATGAGACCAAAACTCAAAGGCTCAGCCACATCCTACCCAGCCCCTTCACCTTTCCAGTTCTTAATGCAGTCCCTCCCCTGGTGAGGTGGTACCCACTCCCCCACCTCTGTCAAAAATTGTGCTCAGCCCCACAGGCGTTGCTCAGTGGTTACACATCAACCTATGAACCAGGAGGTCACGGTTCCATTCCAGGTCAGGGTACATGTCGGGGTGTGGGCTCGGTCCCCAGTAGTGGACATGCAGGAGGCAGCCCATCAATGATTCTCACCACTGATGTTTCTCTCTCTCCCTTCCTCTCTGAAATAAAAATATATTTTAAAAATTGTGTTCAGCCACCTCCTCTCCTGAGTCATGTTTGTCTTTCCTACCTGCACCAATGCTTACACCAGACAGGAGAGGTGGATCTTTCCAGGGGAACAACACTCTGGGGCCTTCTAGGACAGCGGTCGCCAACCGGTGGTCCATGGACCACTGGGGTCCATGAGGCCTGAAAGGTTGGGGACCGCTGCTCTAGGAGCTCAAACAGCTATAATTCACCCACGTGCTTTACTAACAAAACAAGCAAAAAGACACTATCAGTGTTCCACATTCATGCATTGCTTTCAACTGACAATGTGATTTCATGAGTTTTTCTTCTTTCCTTCCTTGCTTCTTCCTCTCTTGCTTCCCAAATATGTCTGAAGCATCTATCTGTATCATGTTCTGGAGATAGATCAGTGTCCAAGAAAATCCTCTGACAGCAAATAACTCCAGATTTAATGGAAGAGAACCAGATAGAAAGTGAACTAAGGCATGAGCTGTGATACAATGTGGGCATGAGAGTTGTGCTATGTTTCCCAAGGGTGGGAGACTTACTTTTCCTGAAGGACATACATTATGTGGGGCAGGTATTTTTATTCCCATTTTAGAGCTGAGGGAAAAGGCCACAGAATAAGCCCAACACAGAAGAAAAAATGAGGCCTGCAGACCATTCCACACAGAAGACCACACTGGGGCTGGCCAAGCCCACATTTGGAAGAGGTTCTGTGCTTAAGAATTTTTATTAACAGGAGAGGCAAAACATGAGCAGGTGGAATAAGTCAAGCAAATCCCAGGACAAAGGTTAAACCTAATGCAGAAATGACCCCAAGTTCCCTAAGAAGACACAGGGAGGGTGGGAGCAGAGATTGAGGAAGAGACTTGAAGGGGTCATATTAGAATTGGCCTGGAAGGAATGAAGAGTGGGTTAGACAGCCCTGGCTTGTTTGGCTCAGTGGATAGAGCATTGGCCTGTGGACTGAAGGGTCCCGGGTTCAATTCCGGTCAAGGGCACATGCCTGGGTTGTGGGCTCAATCCCCAGTGGGGGCGGGGGGGGCGTGCTGGAGGCAGCTGATCACTGGTTATCTCTCATCATTGATGTTTCTCTCTCCCTCTCCATTCCTCTCTGAAATCAATAAAAGTATATTTAAAAAAAAAAAAAAGAGTGGGTTAGACAAAAGATTCCTCAGGGCAGTCTCAGAGTCAGGATGGCAGGGTACTTTGCACCATGGAAATGAACTGGACCAGTGTTTCTCAAACTTCCCAGTTAAACTCTTTAAATAGTTAAACATAAGCTTACCATGGTAGCCCACTCTCTGTGACCCAAGAGAATGGAGAAGTTAGATCCACAAAATGGCCTGTCATAAATGCTTATAGCAGCTTTATTCATACTTGCTCCAGACAGAGCAACCCAAATACTCTTCAGTGGGGAATGGGTCAACAAACTGCCTCCTCTGTACAATGGATGCTACTGGGCAGTAAAAAGGGAGGAACTACTGGCACACACAACATCACGATGAATCTGTAGTTAAATCAAAGAAGCCAGATTCAAAAGGCTACACAGTGACTGATTCTGAAAACATGAAACGTTTGTGAATCGCCCAATGCAGAACAAGGTTCGTGCCACGACTGAAGGCTCTGTTGTGTCCATCACACACAGAGTGTTTCTCTCCAGTGGGCATCTGTCCATGTGGCCTAAGGCTGGAGCCAGGAACAAAGGCTGAACCACACTTTCTGTATGCATGAGAGCTCCCTCCAGTATGAACTCTCTGATGTTGAGTGAGGGTTGACCTCCTGCTGAAGGCCTTTCCACAATCACCACACTCATAGGGCTTTTCTCCAGTATGAACTCTTCGGTGTAGGGCAAGTTGTGAGCTCTGACTGAAGGCTTTCCCACATTCAATGCACTGGTAAGGCTTCTCCCCAGTGTGAACCCTTCGATGCTGAACAAGAGTTGAACTCCGGCTAAAGGCTTTGCCGCACTCATTACAAATATAGGGCTTCTCTCCCGTGTGGATCCTTACATGTTCAGTGAGGTGAGAGTTAAAACCAAAGGCTTTGCCACACTCATTACAAACATAGGGCTTCTCTCCAGTGTGCACCCTGTGATGGAGAAAAAGGCTTGAGCTCTGACTGAAGGCCTTCCCACACTGGTCACATACATGGGGCTTCTCTCCAGTGTGGATCCTCTGGTGCTGAATAAGGCTTGAACTTCGACTGAAGGCCTTCCCACACTGATCACACCCGTGTGGTCTCTCGCCAGTGTGTATTCTCTGATGCTGTGTTAACTGCGGGCTCTGGCTGAAGCCTTTTCCACATTCATTGCATTTGTATGGTTTCTCTCCTGTGTGAATGATTCGATGTTGAATAAGACTTGAACTACGACTGAAGGCCTTCCCACATTCACTACAACTGAAAGGTTTTTCTCCAGTATGAAGTCTCTGATGGAGAACTAGGTGGGAATTGAGACGAAAAGTCTTCCCACATTCATTACATTTAAATGGTTTACTTCCAGTGTGAACTTGGTGGTGCAGAATTAGGCCTGAGCTGAGAGCAAAGGCTCGCCCACACTGACCGCATTTGTAAGGTTTTTCCCCAGTGTGACTTCTCTGATGTCTAGTTAGGTCTGAATTGTATCTGAAGGTTTTGCTGCATATTTCACATTTAAAAGCTCTCTCTCCTGTTTTATTTCTTTGAAGTCTAACAGCATTTTGATTCAGATTCAAGTTTCCATCAAAGGTACCACCTTCGTGGGTTCTTCCTCCTGGAGACCTTTCCCTGCACATGGCAGTTTCTTTCCTAAAAACTCTCTTGTGAAGATGAAGTTTCTTGAAACTCTGCCCAACAGAATCCCACATGTGTCCTTCTACTTTATCCTCAGGTTCCCAAACTCCCTGCAACACAGGTGCCTGTGGATTGCACTCCGAGAATCTTTTTGATATCACTTCTGGGGTTTTTACTTCTTCAGAGCATTTCTGGTTTAGAATGGACAAGTCTTTCTCGGTCCCAATCTCAAAATCTGTTACACAAAAGCAGAAAGGCATTATTGAAGAAAACCATCCATTAGGGATAATATCCAAAATGCGTCGAAAAGCACCCATAAAGCATTCTGTAAAAGATAAATATAGGTGACAGGCAGAATTGAGAAGTAAGGATGACCAGTCCACAGGGTAAAAATATTTAGGTTCATTAGTAATCAAAGGAATGAAATTTAAAACAAATTATAATTTTTCACCTATCAAATTGGCAAATTAATCCATTCAGCAAATATTTAGGCCAGGCATGTGCTAGGTAAGGAATATAACAGGAAGGCAAATACAGCCTCTGACCTCCTGAGGCTTACATATTATTCAGGTAGATAGACAATTAAGCAAATTTTTAACAAGGATGAAAAATCACGTGACAGGGAAACTACACAGAAATGTGGGAAATACAGCATGGCCTCCAAGCTGGTCTACATGATTACAGACGTCTGGGAGGAAGTGGTTTCAGCTAGAGCCTGACGATGACACAGTTAGCAATGGATGTGACGTGTGACAAAATCCATCAAATTCAAGAATCTCACTGTGGCGGCAGGAAGAAGTATGAGGAGGGGAGAATGGCAAGATGGGACAGGGAATGGTCATGAGGGCACCAACACAAGCTCAAGAACTTTAGACTTGCCCTGGCCAGATGGCTTGGTTGGAGTGTTGTTCTGTACACCAAAAGGTGGAGGGTTCAATTCGTCATCAGGGCATATACCCAGGTTGCAGGTTTGATCCCCAGTTGGGGCACGTGCTGAAGTCAACTGATCGATGTGTTTCTCTTACATCAATGTTTCTCTCTCTCTCCCTTCCTCTCTCTAAAATCAATTCAAACAAACAAACAAAAGAAAAACCTTAGGCCAGGGGTCCTCAAACTACGGCCCGTGGGCCACATGCAAATACAAATATTGTATTTGTTCCCGTTTTGTTTTTTTACTTCAAAATAAGATATGTGCAGTGTGCATAGGAATTTGTTCATAGTTTTTTTTTAAACTATAGTCCGGCCCTCCAACGTTCTGAGGGAAAGTGAACTGGCCCCCTGTTTAAAAAGTTTGAGGACCCCTGCCTTAGGCTTTATTCTAAGTACTTAAAAAATAATGATATCCAGTGTTGATGAGAATTGAAGAAACAATCCTTGTCTATTACTCGCAGATGTTACACACATAATTCTGAGGGGGAAAGCAATTCAGTTTATATGAAGTTCAAAACAAAACAAAACTTAGTGGTTACCCTTGGGGTAGCAATGATCAGTGATTGGAGGGTCAGAAAGGGGGCTTCCATGCTGCTGATAACATTGTTTCTTATCTGGTGGTTACGTGTCCACATTCAATTTATGAAAATCCAGTAAGTGCTACAGCCGTAAATGGTGTGAATTTATGTATGTAAGTTATTTTTCAATAAAAAGTATTTTTAATATATTTTTTAAATTGATTTCAGAGAGAAAGTGAGAGGGAAAGAGAGAAAGTTTAACACCAATGATGAGAGAGAATCAGTGATTGCCTGCCTCCTGCACACCCCTCACTGGGGATCAAGCACCACAAAGGAGCATGTGGCCTTGACCAGAATCGAACCTGGGACCCTTCAGTTCTCAGGCCGATTCTCTAGCCACTGAGCCAAACTGGTCAGGGCAATAAAAAGTGTTGTTTTTTTTTTTAATATATTTTATTGATTTTTTACAGAGAGGAAGGGAGAGAGATAGAGAGTTAGAAACATTGATGAGAGAGAAACATCAATCAGCTGCCTCCTGCACATCTCCTACTGGGGATTGTGCCTGCAACCCAGGTACATGCCCTTGACCGGAATCGAACCTGGGACCTTTCAGTCCGCAGGCTGACGCTCTATCCACTGAGCCAAACCGGTTTCGGCTATAAAAAGTGTTTTTAAAGGAAAAAATAGTATTTTGTCCTGGCCATAATATAAAGAATAGAAGTTTTACATATATATATGGAGAGAGAGAGAGAGAAGAATCTACATTAGCATGCAAAGATATCCAGTACCTAGTTATTATTTTCTATAGTCTTTTAGTATTCAAACAAAACTCCTGTTAAATTCTATTTCCTCCCTGATGTCTCATATAATGAGAGTTTTAAAAATAGATTTCATGCTGTCATACACGTATTACCCCTTTTCTTTGGGACACTTGGTAAAAACGTTCCACTGTTCTCAACTCTGTGGGGACAGAGCTGCTTACTACCATGTGGGTGACCTCACCCCCTGTCATCGGTGTTATGACAGACCCAGCAGAACCAGAATCCACCAAAATGTGCCAAAACAGAATACAGAAAACAAAAGAGATAAGTGAACAGGCAGAGCTCCAGGCATATGGCTGACAGGGCCTTCTGGATGATTGCAGCGAACAGCAGCAGGGGTGAGGCTCTGCTGCCTCCCAGAGGTCATCTGTGGTAGGACAGCACATATAAAGGAAATCACCACAGAAGGTGACAAACTGACACCAGCCCAAGGATGCTAATAAGGTCACTGCAACCACAGCCCAAGAGTCCCTGTGCAGGTTCGCTGCTGGAACTAGAACAGCAAGCTCTGAGGACAGCCAGTGCCTCAGGCCCCAGGACACATTAATACTGAGAAACATCCTATCCCTCATGCAACGCTCATCAGGTTTCACCTGGCACCTGTCACCAACAGACTTTGAGGCCTTTGGGGTAATTACTTCTAAAGTAAGGCAACTGCCCTAGGTCGTGGATAGAGCGCCAGCCTGGTGACTGAAGGATCCCAGGTTGGATTCCGGTCAAGGGCACATGCCCAGGTTGTGGGCTCCATCCCAGAAGGGGGCATGCAGGAGGCAGCCGATCAATGATTCTCATCGTTGATGCTTCTCTCTCTCTCTCCCTTCCTCTCTGAAATCAATACAAATTTATTAAAAAACAAAAATTAAAAATAAAGCAAGGCACCTGTGTTCACTACTGCTCCTCTGCATGAGAAAACCTCACAGAAATAGAACCACCTTTTCTCATCCAACTGAAAGGCCTGGACACTTGGACACTCTGTGGGGGCTGTCCCATCAGGGGTGCCAACGCACCCACACTATGTCCTGGGCAGCCCTTTCTCCCACCTCCCCAGACAGGACTTCAGGTTCCTAAATGAGGACTCTTCTCATGAGCACTGTGGGGAGCTGACACCACATTGGGCATTCCGTTCATATCATGGCACTAACCATACATAACAGCCTAATACCATTGCAAATTTAGAACAGCACAATCAACACTTTAGTCAAATTTACAACAAAACAGTGGCTTTTAGAATCATGTTGTTGTTGTTGTTGTTGAAATATATAGTCTTTGGATGTTGTAGTCATGTGCCCTTGACTGGAATCAAACTTGGGACCCTTCAGTCCACAGGCTAACACTCTACCCACTGTAAACCAGCTAGGACAGAATGATGGTTTTAAAAAACAATTCAGCTCTTAATTTATCTCTAGTGAAAAAAGGCATGCATGCGCTCAATAACATGTATTGCACACCCAGGGAGTCTTCTGAGTCATGGGGATGTTCTTTATCTTGATAGAGATCTGGTTGACATAGTTGTGTCTCTGTTAAAACTCAGCAACTTTATGCTACTAGAGGTAAATTCCATCCAAGCAGGAAATGCTGGAGAAAATTTTGGAGAAAGGTTCAGGGTGGAAATAATACAAGTAATTGCAGTCCTAGGGTACTAACAAAGGTGAGGATATGAGTGATGATGTGTTATGTCAGTGGTCGGCAAACTGTGGCTTGCCAGCCACATGCTCTTTGGCCCCTTGAGTGTGGCTCTTCCACAAAATACCGACTTCTGCGCATGGGCCACGAAGTTTCAATCACACTGTACGTGTGCGCCCGCACGTGGTATTTTGTGGAAGAGCCACACTCAAGGGGCCAAAGAACCACATGTGACTCGCGAGCCGCAGTTTGCCGACCACTGTGTTATGTACTTTGACAACTGACCAAAAATAGGAGGATAACGGGGAGAGAAAGGTGGAAAGCAGAACATGTCGCTGGTCATCTCAGCAGTTGGGAGTCAGAGATAGCACTTAGTGCTGACAAGTCAACTAATAAAAGTATGTTCAACAGAACAAGGTAAACACTTAAAAAATATTATTGACTAAGATCGGGAGATGCAGGAGAAAAAGAATAGAAGTTTGTGTAATAGGTAGGTAACCAATAGCTACTGTCTAAAGGAGGAAGATAGAAAGGCTATTATATAAAGAAGAAATGAAGCTGTTATACAGGTTTATCATAGACGTAATTACTAAATGCAAACTTCCCTAATAACCGGAAGAACTGTGTATTTTTAAAAGGCAAGCAAACAAATCAGTAAAATGAAAGCTGTTAAAACAGGCACAAATGTCTGCAGGAGTACAAAACGCTGTTCAGACTGCCCCCAGGAGCCCATGGAAGTGAGCCCATTACAGCCCCACCTACTCTCACCTGTGCTGCAGCTGTTCAAGGGCTCCGGTTCCTCAGCTCCCATGAGATCCAGGACCCACAGCTCTTCACCTTGCTCCAGCTGGGAGATCAACTCTGGCTTAGGGACAGGGAGTCCTGTTGAGGTGAGGGCACTGGTGAGCTGGAACAGAGCACTGCCCACCTGGTCTTGGAGGCCAGGTGAGAAGTAGAGTTTCCCCGGAGCCCTCCTGCTTCTCCACACCGCCACCCCAGGTGGGAGGGGGGCAGGAGTCACAAAATGTGTGTGTTGGTGGAGTGGAAGGGGTTGGTCAGGAGAAGCAGGGGCTGAAAGTGAGCGCTGAAGGAGAATAACTCATCAGTTCTCCTGCCCCTGGGTACACAGGTGGGAACGGGCATGCAGAGTGAAGTCTGGAATGGGAGCCAGGCAGAGACCAGACTGGTACCTGGGGAAAGAGGGAGGACCCTCCCCTTTGGGCTCCAAAGTTTGGAAGCAGCCCCAGAGCTCCCTGGAGGTCCACACCACAAGCCCAGGGAGAACCGCACCCAGTGAGGCCACGTGCCCGTAGTTCTCAAGCATCACATCCCTGTACAGTGCCCGCTGGTCTGGGTCCAGCTGCTGCCCCTCCGCGCGAGAGAAGTACACGGCCACGTCCTGGAATGTCAGCGGCACCACCTCCTGTAACGACAGGTGGCCGCTGCCCTGGGGCTGCGCCCACTGGGCACACCTGCTGCGCTCAGCCCGAGGACCAGCCGGCCATGAGGACCGGGCTGAGCTCCCAGAGTCCCTATCCCTGGGGAGGGCATGAGTCCAATCCCAGAGCCCTGTCCTTGGGTGCCAGGGACGCCCGGCTTCTCCAGGGGCTGGGCTCACCACTCCAGAAGAGGGAAGGCAGGGAGGAAGGTGAACTCACCTGGGGCGCTGGAAGCCCGAGTGCATCTGCCATCTTGGGGAAGCAGGATCTGAAGGAAGACTCAGGACCTGAGGGGGGCTGCCCTGGCCTGGGCCTCCAACGCTCACCCTCGGAGGGAGGGGACCCACACTCAGACCCACTCAGTGTCATTACATCACTTCATTAACTTCCAGGGCCCAAAGGGTGTGAGGGTGGACAGGTGAAGGGTGGCATTAGTAGGTTCCTGGAGTGGCCCCTTGGGGCCACGAGCACATTCTCTTAGAGAAGTTGCTGGTCAGAGGCAGGTCACTCCGCAGCAAGACTCAGCGCGTGCCTGACTGCCCAGTGACACGGAGAATCACTAGAACTGGCAGCGCCAGAATCCAGGTGGGGCCGCCGGGAGCTGAGGGGTGAAAGCTGGCCGCTCCAGTGGTGCGGTTTCCGGGCCCACCTGGGCTAGAGCCCCACCTGGCACAAGCTGTGCAGCCCCCCCACCGTCCCACCCACAGGGTGAGAGACCCAGGACGCAGCCAGAAGCTCGCTGCCTTGTCACCCCTTCGTCCCCAGCCTCCTGGGTCGCCTCCCATCTCCTCGCCACCCCGCCAGCCAAGCGGAGGTCCTCATCCTCCCAAGTCTCCCCGGTGGCCGCCTCCGGCCCGCGAGCTCTGGCAGCCCAGGGCTGCACACACAGCCCGACGCTTCCACCGCG